GTGTGTCTGTATGTGTGTATGTGCGTGTGTGTGTGCGTGTGTGTGTGTGTCTGTGCGTGTGCGTGTGTGTGTGTGTGCACACGTGTGTGTGTCTGCATGTGTGTGTGCACGTGTGTGTGTGTCTGTACGTGTGTGTGTGTGTCTGTGCATGTGTGTGTGACTGTGCATGTGTGTCTGTGCATGTGCGTGTGTGTGTCTGTGTGTGTGTGGTGTGTGTGTCTCTGTGCGTGTGCGTGTGTGTGCATGTGTGTGTGCACGTGTGTGTGTGCACGTGTGTGTGTGTCTCTGTGTGTGTGTGTGTGCGTGTGTGTGTGCGCGTGTGTGTGTGCACGTGTGTGTGTGTCTCTGTGTGTGTGTGTGCACGTGTGTGTGTGTGTCTGCATGTGTGTGTCTGTGTGTGTGTGGTGTGTGTGTCTCTGTGCGTGTGCGTATGTGTGTGTGTGTCTGTGCATGTGTGTGTGCACGTGTGTGTGCACGTGTGTGTGTGTCTGTGCGTGTGTGTGTGTGTGTGTCTGTCTGTCTGTGTCTGTGCGTGTGTGTGTGTGTGTGTCTGTCTGTCTGTGTCTGTGCGTGTGTGTGTGTGTCTGTGCATTTGTGTGTGCATGTGTGTGTGTCTGTGCATGTGTGTGTGCACGTGTGTGTGTGTGTCTGCGTGTGTGTGTGTGTGTATGTGTGTGTGTGGCTGTGCGTGTGTGTTTGTGTGTGTGTGTGCATGTGTGTGGTGTGTGTGTGTGTCTGTGCGTGTGTGTGTGTGTGCATGTGTGTGTGTGTGGTGTGTGTGTGTGACTGTGTGTGTGTCTGTGCATGTGTGTGTGTGCATGTGTGTGTGTGTGGTGTGTGTGTGTGACTGTGTGTGTGTCTGTGCATGTGTGTGTGTGCATGTGTGTGTGTGTGGTGTGTGTGTGTGACTGTGTGTGTGTCTGTGCATGTGTGTGTGTGCATGTGTGTGTGTGTGTGGGGTGTGTGTGTGTGTGTGTGTGTGTCTGCGTGTGTGTGTGTGTGTGTCTGTGCATGTGTGTGCACGCGTGTGCGCGTGTGTGTGGGGGTTAGGTATGTGCACATCGGATCCAGTGGGACTGGAACTGACCCCCGCCCCCCCAGGCCGTCATAGCTGCTGGGCCTTCTGTCCAGCCGCGCCCTTTTTTGTTTGTCTTTTGAACCAGGTCTCTCACCGACCGACCGTAAGCGTATGTAGCCCTTTGCCTTCCCAGCCCTGGGGTTGGGGCCCTCTGCATCTCAAGTGTGTACTGGGTTAGGTGGATATGGCAGAGACTGAGTAATTTGGGGCAAGGAAAGGATTTTTTTTCGATTAAACTGTTTGGATAGACACCTAATGATTTTATTTTATTTGAGACAGGGTCTCCACGTAGCTCAGGCTGACCTCCAGCTCGCTATGAAATCCATCTGCACCCCGCAGCCTCTCAGCCTCTCCTTATGCGCCCCTCCCAACTCCTCAGCACCCGGGAGTGAGCGAGGTTAGGGCGGGGGACGACAGAGAAGCCAGAGCCCCAAACCCGGTGCTCACTTTGCTTGCAGATGGAAATTACTGTCTCCTTGCCCTAGGTTTCCGAACCAAAGAACGTCTAGAAAAATTTAGTTCCAAGGCCCCACCCACAAAGGGGCACGCAGGCGCGTGTGAAGCCGCGACGGCCATCTTGGACTCGGGCAGCACCTGCGCCTTCGGGCTGTAGCCTCATGCGGGAGGACGAGGGACACGTCTGTCCACCCAGACCCATGGCGGGCGCGTGCTCGCGGGGCCAGCGACCCTCTCCTCCTGCCTCCAGGTAAAACCTTGAGCCAGTAACTGGTCACTGGAGTTCCAGCTCGTGGTCTTCGCTGCTGCCTCCTGGAAGGTGGGAGTCGGGCAGCTCGCATTGCATAGTGCTCCCGCCGCAAAAAGAAGTCCCGGTGTGCTCGGGGGCTCTGAGCTTGGCGCGGCGGGTGCAGCGCTCTCCCAGCCTCCGGCACCCCAGGGCCCACCCAGGCCAGGGAAAAGTGCAGCTTCACCAGGCCCCTGGGCCTGACACGTGATGTGACCAGCTGGGGAGGGGGTCGGACACACAGCCAGGGTGCCCGGGACTGCAGGCAAAAAGAATCTTTGTGCATTTCGGAACATTTCGACGCCCCCGGCTTGTTATTTATATCCCCCCCTGGCTGCCTCTCTGTAGGGGCTCCCTGCGGCATCAAACCTCCTAGCTCCAAAAAAGAGAAAAGGCTGTGTGTGTGTGTGTGTGTGTGTGTGTGTGTGTGTGTGTGTGTGTGTGTGTGCATGCATGCAGGGACGTGGGGAACCGGGGAGATGGAACATTGTGTCCCGGGTGGAGCTGTGTGAAAAGGACCTTTCCGGCTGCTCTGGGCTGTGGCTCCTGTAGAGAGGTGGCCTGCGGAGCCCTCAGTAGGGCACCTGCCCGTTCAGCTCCCCACCCGAGGGGCCCCTGACTTTCCTCGTGGTGGGAAACTCCTTGGAATGCCGAGAAGAGGGGCTGTGAGATGGCTCAGTGGGTAGAAGCCGGGCAACTTAACTTGGATTTCCAGGTCCCAAATGGTGCAAGGAGAGAACTGATTTCTGCTTAGTGTCATCTGACTTACACACATGTGAAAGCGCGCGCGCGCACACACACACACACACACACACACACACACACAAAGCGCACACACACACACACACACACACACACACACACACAAAGTGCACGCACTTGCACACACACTCTCTACATGCGTGCACCCGCACACATACATGTACAATGTGACACGTGTCCAATCGCACTACACAGAAGAAAAACTGAGAGTGTGGGTCGAGGGCCCGTGGGGATGTCACAAAGGACTGGCTGGGGTTTGTTCTGATTTTCCAGCCATGTGCAGCCCCACACCCAGGATTCTGGAATCTCAGTATAACTAGTTTGGAATCAGAATTACACCAGTTGGTCCAGCTTCCCACGATCCAGCATCGGAGAGGTAGCAGAGGGTAAAAATGCCAGGTGGGGTGTGGGGGGATTGCACAGTTTATTTCCAGACACAGTCAGGGGGTGAGGTGGGGGACCCGTCTGCCTCCCCCCCCTGCATTTGGCTTAATTGAGAATTTCTCTCTCCTTACCCCTACGATGTGCAAGATAGAGAAGACCCCTCCCACCCCACCCAAGGAAGGTCTAGGCAGACGAGGAGGAGCATGGGTGATGGTGTGGTTCAAGTATTCACAGGTCCCAGGGGGTCACACTGCACCCAGATCCACGATTGCCCCTGCTGGTGTAGTTCTTTAGCGTGGACATCCCTTCCCCTGTCATGACTGAGTTCGAGGCTCTGCAGACAGTCAAGGTCTCCGGAAAGCAGGCTCACCTGAGGGCTCCAGGGAGAAGGTGAGGGTCTCCCCTACCCACTAGGTTGGGAGCAGTGGTCCTTGGGTCAGGGGGTGGGTGAAAACTGGGAGGGTACCAGGGAAGGACACAGGTTTGGAGGGCCTTGATGAACACATTCAGACAGCTGTGGTCTGAACTCTCATCTCCACCCTCACTCTGGGCACAGTATCCCTGAGAGTCCAGCCACAAAGGCAAAATGGCATGGGGTGGGGGATGGGAGGGGGAGAGGGGAGTAGGGGATGGAACTGGGGGAATAATGAATGGGGGGGGTGACTGAGTAGGTCATGCAGCCCTACAGCCAGCCCTGTTCCTGGGAGCCAGTGTGGGAGGGCCAGGCCTTGCGCTCAAGTTCCTCTCCAGTTCTGACCTTCCGAAGTAGCAGGAGGTCTGGGAACACAGGTTAGAACCACTAGTCCCCAGGTCCCCAATGTTTTGACTTTGGGCACCATGGAAGAAAAGGGGGGTGGCGGCTGCATCAAAGGGTTGTATAAAAAGCAAAAACCGTTAAAAAAACAAACAAACAAAAAACAACTTCCTGGGAAGTAGTACCCAGCCTCTTGTCCCTCCAAGGCATCAGTCAGCCCCGCTCAGACAGGACAGGGCCCAGTAGCACCATGCGATGTTGGGGTATCCGTGCCCCCTTGATGACCCCTGGGCAGTGGTTCCTCAGAGCAGGGGTGCCTGTTTGCTGAACTGGAGGAAGGAGAGGATTGTTGCAGGGGAGGGAGGAGGGGGAGGCTTAGGCTGGGGCCCCAGAGGGCTCCCCGGGAGTCAAGATCTGAAGAATCTGTGTACCACGTACTGGCCCAACAGAACCACACCAAGAATTGTCATCACAATCAGGATTGGGTCTCTGCGCAGATTCAGGGCCGCCACCTGTCGGGAGGAAAGGGGTGGGTTACAGAGTGGCGGGGCAGCCGAGCAGCAGGGGGGTGTCCCGCCCTCAGGTGCTTACCCAGCCGCCTCTCTGCGCAATCCACCTGGCGATGCAATGGTGCAGTATGATATCCGCCAAAAAGCAGGTCACCTGGCCCAGGAAGCCGGTCAAACCACGTTGGTAGACATACAGGGCCAGGCGGTAGCCGAAGCCCAGGAGAGCCACCACACGGCCCCAGCTGATGCCGCTCTTAAATAGGCTGCGGGCAAATAGATCACGGAGAGCCCACCTTGGGGGCCAGTCCCTTTTCTTCCTCTGGTACCCCGTTTGCCTCCTCCCCATCTCCCCTCCCCTCCAGCCGCCCCCAGCTGGGACGCTAAACGGTTGAGCTGCCAGTCCAGGTCAGAAAGTCTGCCTTGGCCTGGCCGCCCATCAGGAAGAGGCTGGGTGTCACAGCGTGAAAGAAACCAAGAGCACAGGGCGATGAGCTGGCTGCTGCTGGTACAGAGGGCCCAGGGAGGGAAGACAGGAGGCAGGACATTACCTGTGACAGTTGCTGCTGGCCTGGCAGCCGAGGGACAGCAGAGAGAAAAGGACAGAAGAGATTAGGAGAGATCCCAAACTGCAGGGGCACAGGGTGGGGGCCATGCTGAGGGCAGGGATAGGACCATGCTCAACTCTGAGCACCAGCTTCAACCTGTTACTGGCTTCCCCTCTACCGCTGCCTTTACGTCCACCCCGACACCGACTCCCTCGTTCAGGGAGTGAACACAACAGCCAGGCTTGCCTGTGATCCTAGCACTCGGGAAGCTGAGGCAGGAGGGTCAAGAGTTCAAGCCCAGCCTGGGCTACCCGAGACCCTATCTCAAAAACAAGGACTGGAGAGGTAGCTCGTGGATTAGGAGCAGTAGCTGCTCTCCCAGAGGAGCTGGGTTCAATTCCCAGCACCTTCATGGTGGCTCACAACCGTCTGTGACTACGGTTCTAGAGGCCTTTTTCTGGCCTCTTTGACATCAGACTCGAAAGTGGTGCACATACATATATGCAGATAAAACACCCATATACCTAAGATAAAAATCAAGTTGGGCAGTGGTGGCGCATGCCTGTAATCCCAGCGCTCGGGAGGCAGAGGCAGCTCTGTGTGTACGGAGCGAGTTTCAGGACAGCCAGGGCTATACAGAGAAACCATGTCTCAAAAAACAAAACAAACAAAAAAGATAAAAAACAAACAAACAAACAAAAAACAAAAATCAAACTACCCTGGGTGTGGTTTGAAAGTGTGAACCCTGATTTAGGTTATTGCCCTATTTCTCAGGAGGTTTCATGGTGGTGGCCAGTGGCAAGCTGAGGTGTGAGCATTGTACTGAGTGACTGCCGTCCTCAGCACCAAGGGGCCTCTTAGATGCCACTGAATCACAACTGGCCTGACAGAAAGTTGGTGGCCCAGCCACTTTGGTATGTCCCCGCTGGACTGCAAGGCTCTTGGGAACATCTCCACCCCTGGGGTGCTAGCTGTTGGTGCCAGAGCTCCTGAGAGGCATGACAGCAAGTATGCAGAAGACAGCGAGTGGGGCCCAGAGACGGGGAGATGGGCGGGGATCGTATCTGAGTTCACGAACTCGGTCCCCAGCCAGGGAGCCCATCACGTGTGTGCTGGGTCAGGTGGTGGTGGGTACCTGGAGGCAATCTTGGTGAAGAGTTCGTAGGCATTCCCAGCTGTGGGCTGCAGCTGCTCCAGTAAATTCTGGAACTCTGTGTCGTATCTCCGGTTAATGTCATCTCCAATGATAGCAAGCTGCCGGCCCACCTGACCCAAGATGCTGTAAGAACGGGAGTTGGAGATTGGGAACCCGGCTCGTGGCACAGAATGGATTCTCCTGGGGTGGGGGTAGGAGCAGACTTTACCCCGCACCGCCAACGTCCTCGACAGTGGCCAGGAGGGCTGTGCTAAGGACAGGACGGGCATGTCCTGAAAGGAGTATAGGACTGCAGATGGGGGGGGGACCAGATTGAGAAGGGAGAGAGATGACAGAGATAAGTCCAGTCCCCCTCCCCCCGGGACCTGTCCCCCTGGGGCTGGAGCTTACCTGTTGGGTTCTAGGAGCAAATTGTCCATCTCGGGGTTGGCAGGGGCAGCCGCCCCCTGGGTCTCTTGTTCCTGATGGTGGAGATGGAAAACATAGCTTCGAAAGACCTCCTCTGTGTCCTGGGCCACCTGCTGTTCTGGGGTCAGAGCTGGGAGTCAGCAAGAGAAGGCTGTCTGCCTCGCACCCCACTTCCGGGCACCCCCCCCTTCCAGTGCTTAGGCTTTCTCCAGCCCCTTCACGAATACACAGCACTCCCCACAGTGTTCTGCCAGTGTGACCATTCCTCATGATAGTCCTGGGGAAACTGAGGTACACATGGCCAAGCCATGTACCCAGGGTCATGTAGCTGGAGGGTCAGGGAGGAGCTGTTCGTCTTGGTTGTCCAGTCAATGGATCTGGGATCAACTAAGTCACCTCAGGGCAGGTCCGAAGGTGTTTCCCAGGATGGACTGACTGGGGAGGGCCTTCTCCACAGTGAGCTCACCTTCCTGTGGCAGTGCCACTACCCGCCCTCCCCCGCTGCCCGCCCTCCTCCTGCTGCCTGGTTCCCAGTCCTTAGAGTGGAGGAAATGAAACTGAATTGGGAGCTGCAGGCCGGTCAGCCGGTCAGTGGAAGGGGAATGGTCTCTGTCTTTAGCTTTTGAGACAGGAGGTCTTGCTATGTAGCCCTGGCTGTTCTGGAACTGAATAACAAGATCAGGCCAGCCTCAGACTCACAGAGCTCCTCCCGTCCCTACGTCCTGAGTGCTGGGACTAAAGGCACGTACCACCACCTCGAAGCTCTGGGACTGGTGTTTTCAGTCTGAGAGGGTCTCGCTCTACCGGACTCTAGCCTGGCTGACCTGGAGTTCATTCTGAAGGACAGACTGACCTAAACGTGTGCAAATCCTGTCTCAAGCTCTCAAGTGCTGGGATTGCAGACATGAGCTACCACACCCAGCTCCCACAGACCTGGGATACGAACCCCAAGTCCAGGGACCAGCCTGGCCTCCCTGCCCATCCACTTGAGAAAAGTAGAAGGGCAGTCATCCCCCCCCCCCCCCCACCCTTCCACCACCACGC